GTGTCCAGTCAGTGTGTCTTGCATTTACCGAGGGGTGCTGTCCCAGTGGCTCAGGTTGCGGTTGCAGGGGGAGGTGCGTTCAGGTGGCCTCATGGGCAGCTACGGCTGTGCGGACGCAGGTACGCCCGAGCTGTTGGTCGTGTAACTGTAGGTCAGCGCGTCCGGAACGGCTCACTGCAAAACGATGGATGACCTGGTGGCAGCGAGGTCTTGAACAATGACGCCAGACCGGTCATGATGGCTGGCCGCCACAAGACCAATAAAGGTATCCATCACGACCTTGCAGTTGCCGAGGCCGAAACCTGACTTGACATGTTCAGCCGACCTACACAAAAAGCACCTCATCGATACGCATGATACTGCGTTTGGCTTGTCATACCTAACCCTCCCTCCCCCCTCCGTCCTCTCCTCCTGTTACCCTGCCTCACGATTAGACACTGTCATCTCCTGTTTTTCTGGCACTACTGGCTCTCCACCGCACCCAATGTTGTTCTACCAAATTGAAAGTTATTGTTGACTCACCCATTTATTAGTTTTTTTATCCCTGTGCCATCTGCTTCCATTTTACAGCTTCGAAACAGAGGCACAACGGGAGGCACAGCCACGCCAGCACTTGCTATCGACCACCGTTGCTGCAGTTCCTGTTGCGGGCGTCGAGACGCCTGCCCCTACCCCGGCTTCAACTGACGAGGTGGGCGGCTGGATCAACATCCGCCAAGTGCTCAGTTTCGATCTGGGCCAGCAGCCTCAGTATCGCCCACAGACGGCCTACGTTCTGCGTGTGCGTCGTGGGCGTGAACAGAACCCGGTCAAACTGTCAATTACTCCAACCATCTCTGAGTGGATGGAGTTCATCTTCAAAGCGGTCGACAATACTGGTATGCTCTTTTTTTGTCCCGCCTGGTGAGAGCGCCCCTCATCTCATAGGCAGTAGTGACCAACAGTAAGGACATCGAATGGATTTTTAGATTCAGCGGACATCGGCCTTGCCGCTGATGCCTCTTTTTAGACTATGCTCGGGCTGAGGAAAATAAAGTGCTCACCGGATCGAGGGATTTGTTTGGCTGACGTTTCGAAGAGCTTGGGCGGCCCTCCATTATCAAAGCGTCTAGTACAAAAATTGATCAGAATTTTGAATAGACAGCCGGATTAGTTGGCCTTTGGCTGATCGATTTTTTTCTTCTTTCACTGCCTTGGCCTACTGGCCGTCGCCTGTTGATGGCCTCCTGTATTACGCGTCGTCACCTCAATTGGGTTTGGTTGCGTTTGCGTTCCCCTTTTGGGTGAAGTGGTCGGCAGGCCGTGTTCGCTCGGTATTTTTAGGCCCCGTATGATTGTCTTGTCTTCGTCACGGCGTATATAGTGACGTAAGACTTTATAGGCCGAAGGAAGGTCTAGATGCCTGTTAATGAAGTTGGCATCTGAGTACCAAGCCTCAAGTTTGAGACGCTCAGTCCTCGAGGTGCCCCTGCCTAAAACGGCTGCTCCTTGAAAATCAAAACTGTGGCCAGTTTCCCTGATGTGAGCCGCAAGCTGTTTGGATCTAGTCTAGTTGCCAGTTTGTGCTCATGTATGCGGGTCTGCAATGTTGCAGTCTCCATCGTTACAACGTATTTGATGGACAACTGCTGAGGTTTCATTGGGTGACAGTATGTCTTTAGGTTGCTGGAGGAAGGGCGCTGACTCGCTCGCTTTTAGCAATCTGCATGTTATTAGAGTCTCAGTCGGAGTCAAACCCACGCGATGTCTGCCCGCACAAGACTTTGAAGTTACAGATAAAATAAATTGATCCTGGAAGATGTGAACGCCATGTGCCTGCTTGCTTTTTGGAGACACCAGGTAATTACTACGGGTCTTTTGTGATGCATGGGAAATGATACCAGCACGTGAGTGACCCGCTTCGCTTTTGCGTCACCAAGAATCCCTCTATATAAACATTTATCTGAATATGTTAAGGCAGTGTTGGTGGCAGTTGATCGACCGACGGTGTGCGATCTCCCGGCTTGCTTTGAATGACACGATTTTTCAATTAATTCTACTCTACTCACTCTTTCTTGCTTTCAGTTATCAGCCACATGAAGGGATACAGCCCTGGAAGCCTTTTGGATGTTGTTAAACGTGAGTTTTACTTTTGTCTCTTGGACTTCATATTTCTCTCTTTAGTATTTACTGGTGTCTCTATGATGAACGTTTTTTCTTCTCTAAAGCCTTCTACAGGCTGGTTTAAGTCTCTTTGCCTGGACTAGTCATATAGCACGGAAAGTCTAACTGACTCCTCGGCGTGGTTAATACGAGATATAGCTCGTCTTTAAAACCGACTCATTCTCAACTAACGCTAACTTTTGGTAGATACAAGAGATAATTTGTTGTTAGAATCACTGTCGAGCTCAACAGATTCAGTCAGGTCCGTTTTCACCGCCTCCACTACCGTTTCTGACTTAGTTGGTATCCTCAGGCGCCCATGCTTTGGGCTCCTGGGCAAAAGTAGCACGCTCCAACTTTGTCCTGCAATTGGGGGTAGATTGCTGAACGTTGCCGATTTCGACCAACAGGGCATGACCCCAAGCCTTGACTTGAATTCTACCCCTAGCCTCTTCGTCCCGAGATATGGCTGTCTGATGACAGCAAATGCGCCAGAAATGGCCGTTCCAGCCCCTCTTTTGTTTTAATCGGTGACCCTTCCCGTTTACTTGATCCTTTATTTGTTGCGGTTTGTCCTATGTCACTCTCTGGCTGCCTCCTTGTCCTTATTCACCATTTCTTATTTCCCGGTCTCTTCAAGTATGTGTGGTCTACCTCCTGAGAGTGCAACTTGCCAGTATAAAGTTACTGCATTTCCCGTCAGGGATGAATGCCTTTCATCGGTCAGTGTCGTGCACATATTTGCCTGCTCTCGGTGGAGTAAGT